GGCCTTCAGTAGACCAAACAAGACGTCTGTGTGAATCGTCCTCTCATGAGCCTCGTCCAACATTATAATACTGTACTGAGTCAGATCGCCGTCAATCAGGCACTCTCTCAGCATCATACCATCTGTCATGTATTTGATCTTTGTCTCGGGACTCGTACAATCCTCAAAACGAATTGTGTAGCCAACCTGATGAAAATTAAAATCATGCATCTTCATGAAATTATCAAGGCATGCATAAATTTTATACATGTGGAGTATGTGCATGTGCTAAATGTGTATTATTATTTTGTATCACAATTTTAACAAAGCATCTATGGATATCTAAATTTGTTAAATCTTTTTGAAATATTTTTTTTATTTGATTCATTTTTTTAATCTGTGTTTTAAATGTACATTTTCATTTTTTTTTTTAAACATGCATCTTCCTTTGTGATCCCAAAAGGATACAGACAAAATCATTACTTCTGAAAAATTTCTCTTTGAAAGATATAAATGTAAAAGAAGTTGTATAAAATGCACAAGGGGAGAGTAATGTTGGTGAGTCAATTTTGAACCAAAAAAATTTACCTCCTGTCCCAGTCGACAACCAAATTCCTCCGAGACTCGTTTGGCGACAGACATGGCAGCGACTCGTCTCGGCTGAGTACATCCGATCTTCCCCGATGTCGTGTAGCCAGCCTCAGCGAGATACTGGGTGATCTGAGTTGTCTTCCCTGATCCCGTCTCACCAATGACGATTAATACCTGGTTGTCTGTCACAGCCTAAAATGGAGTTTATAAAGTTTAAAATAATTGTTAAACAACTGCCATCAAATATGACTGAGAACCAAAGTATAAGAGATTCAAGGGCTCTAACACCACCAGAGTTTATAAATTTTATTTTCTATCATTCAATTTTTCTTGTAAAATTTGAAATACCTAGTGCATTTTTTCTCTTAGATAATGATTTAAACAACTATTAACATACTACTACTACTATTTTTTTTTCTTTTGGGCACATAAAATGAATGTATAATTTTAGTTTTATAAATCTTTCTGACATCTCATTGACTAAATCTTAGTGATATTAATTCATCAAATTTGAATGACCTCCAGAATTCTTTTGATTTTCTCCTCATTTTTATCAGTCTGGATAAAGGATGACAACTCCCTACCTTGACTAGTTCGTCCTTGAGTTTAAATATAGGCAGACTCTGGCGCTGTTCCAGGAGCGATTTCTTTTCCTTCTTTCCGTAGGATGCCTTCTGACCCCCTGATATATGTTTCTTCCACTCTGGTAAATCAGCTGGGGCCATTCCTACTCCCCGCACCTGGGAGGCTAGCCTTCTGTCGCCATCTGGAACATACCCCAAAAATACAAATTGTTATTTAAACCTTCTGATTTCATTTACTTAATTTTTCTTACAAAAAGTATTTCATATACAATGTGTCATATTGCCTTTAGAGATATCATAAAACAAAAGGAAATGCTCAAATACTTCAAATTTAGTTTTTCAGAAAAAAGTATTGGCTGATGCGGACTTGATTTTTTTAATGAAGGGTATCATTTTGTTAAGATTTTTATTTAAGATTTCAAAGGTCTTCAACCTCTCCCCCCCCCCCCCCCCCCAAAAGACTGAGACGTTCTTGGAGTCAGAAGGTAATGTGATTATTTAGTAGGTAAAAATTCATGCTGAGATCAAAATTTATGCCACCTCCACTTCTGTATGAATTACAGTCTGACGATATAACCTACCCTCTGGCATGGGGTCGATCCAGTCTTTATTTAGCCCCGAGGGCACAGCGTCCATCTGGGCCTCTCTCTGGGCCTGCTTCAGCTCTCGCCTCTCCTTCTGTAGAGCATTCTGCATCATGGCAGCTTGTGACAAAGAGCCGTCAGGGTTCTGTCAAATCAATCATGTTACAAAATTATATATGTAAATGTAAAGTTAAGATATATGTAAAATTTCATTAAAAACAGATACTGTCTTGACATGCATGAACATGTCTAAATTTTAACATGTATGTATTTCATATACATGTATATGCATGCTACATTATTTTAAACCATTTAATCAATGCAATTTTTTCTCTCACGTCATTTTAAAGCAAGTATTCCTTTAAAAATTATACTTCACCATATTCAATTTATGGACATGAAGTAAAAGTCAAAATATGGTCAAAATTGACCAAATTTAAACAAAAATGTACTAACATTTAAAAAAAATTTTGAAGCCGATGTTACCTTGACAATTTTAACAGGACTAAGATCCATCCCCCCTCGGCCGTGCCCAGTCAGGAATGGCGCCTCCTCTTCTTTCAGTTCTATCTCTATATCCTCATCGGAATCATCGTCCTTCACCAACACCCCCATCTCCTCATCGAAGTCCGGCAGTTCTGACTTATCGATGACGTTAGCGGCGATCATCTGTTGGATCTCGAATCTCTCCGGGGACGACATTCGCTGATATCGCTTCTTTTCGCGGCTGTCGTCAATATCCGGGATGTGTTCCACCAGAGGCATGGTGGAGGGGCGGTCCGGGTTCCTGGCCTCCACTTGATTGTTGTGGATTTCTCCACCTACCAGGGTCTTGGTCTTTGATGGGTTTAAGTCTTCTCCGGTTTCCTGATCAACATCCTGAGAATGAAATGTGTTTATTAAACAGTAACTTTTATAAACTTCATAAAACAAATTTTGGAGTTGGTTCTGTGATTGAAAATGAGTAGAAATTTATATGAAATTTTCCAAATTATGGTGAACATGAGTTTGTGCAAAAACAACGAAAGTTACCCCCCTGCCCTCCAAAAATTAGTGATTCTTTAAAGTGTTTACTTTTAAAGATTTTACTTTTCAAATAAAAATTGTATTTCTTTGTACACCAATTACTTATATTATGCCTCATGCTAAAACTCTCTCCCTAACTCTCTGTACCATACCTTTAAAGATAAACTGGTTTTCTGGCCACTGAATGACAAAACTTTGACCTTGACCTTTTGACCTCTCTGCACCACATCACTGACATTTGTTACCCTCCCCTCTCTCCTCAACTGTCAACAAATGAACAAAAGGTGTTTTTAATACATATAACTGATAGATTAATTATTTAGCAGATTTTGATTTTTTTTTTATGAAACCTATGCAATTATACAATACACCATTTACGCAGCACAGTTAAGGTTACAAAAAGGAGGCGGAGCCTAATTTGTACGGGAAAACTTGACTATGACATCATACGTCATACAAAATTTCTTTAAAATACCACAAAATGAATTTATTGCTAATTTAACCAGTAAATATCTACATAAAATTTTATTCAAAAGCTTTAAACTTCCTTTAAAAAATCATTGTAAACAAAACTTGTATTGATTTGGCAGAGAAATTAGAGACTGTCATAAAAATTAGATTCATTCTCTGCATTATTTCTTACACAGCAAAACTGACTTTTATCAATTTATTTTTGAAATAAAATAATAACTAGAAAACTGACCAGTCAGCAAGGGTAATATGGGGTAGAATTAAAAGGGTATTCTCTTACAGAATGATTAATAAATGTACAAAGAAAAAGCAACAGCAACTGTATTCTTAAAATTTCAACATAATTTGAATATTCAAAAACCTGAAAACAATATTCTTGTATTTACATTAGGCAGTAAAGAACAACTTAACATTGAATTTATATTTAAACAATTATGAATCTTGTGTTATATAAAATGCCAGCCTTCAATGAATGCAAATATCATGAAGGCTTGACAATTTAACTTCAAACAAACGGCAGTTGCAGACAAAGGTTTTCATTAATCTTAAAGTGACCTAAAGAGAAGCCTACTAAATTTTCTGCAGCAGGCTAGATAATTACAAATCCCAAGGGATTAATTGTACCTCTCTCATCATTTTCTTCTAAAGTTACAATAAGGACTTTTTTCAGTATTAATGATAGAACGGAGTTTTTATACAACTACATTAAAAATTAAAAACATTCTTGAATTAATATATTTATAAAAAAAAAAGGAAAAAAGTGAAAAAAAAAAAAGTACCCTGGTAAATCAAAAAATCTTCTTTAATCTATTTCTTTTTTTAGGATTCAATGAAATCATAACTATTAAACAAAAATAAATAATAAAAATTTATATTTAAATCCACATATCAGAGTATTTGCATAGAATTCCAAAATGATTTAACTTCAAAACAAACTTCATTTGCAGACAGAGGTGGTACTTAATCTCAAAGTGACAGATAAAGATAATGCTCTGGAATTTCTTCAAGGAGGAAAGCTAATTAATCTCATGGGACTCCAATAGCATTCACTTTTACTAAAATAAACATCTTAGCAGTTATCTCTCTTTGCCAATGCATTCTTATATAAAGTTAAGGAATCTACAATTATCCACCACCCCAGCTCCAAACCAAGGGACATAATTGCCAAACTTAGCATCAAAATATGTATTTTTTAAACTACGTACCAAATTTGATCGATTGGGCAACCATAAAAAAAGTTGCCCGTTCATTCTTATTCATAGTTTAGGAATCTACCCCACCACCCCAGCTCCAAACTAGAAGTACATTTTAATCAAAAGCATCAAAATATGTCTTTCTGCCTATTAAACTCACCATACCAAATTTAAACTTGATATGGGCAACCATAAAAAAAGTTATTAAGAAAAAAACAGAAAATTTGTGGACGGATATAGTTTCAGACGGACAGACAGACAGAAGACGGATGGACTTTTACGGACAACAGAGTGATTACTATAGGGCACCCGCAAATCCTTGCGGGGCCCTAATAAAATAAATTTCTAGCAGCCGTTCACTTACCTGTGAAATATGAACGAGCCCTTCCCATTTCTTTCGAAGACCCTCTAACTGAACAAAGCAGCCAAACTGCATAATGGTGTTGACTCTCCCATTGTATATCTGTCAGATGAATTAAATAAACTTAAACATGGTAAACATAATCAACATGTAAACATGCATATTAATTGCTTACATATAAAAATATTTGCATACAATGCATATATGGTTTGGGAGACCTGCTGCAATATGCTGTAAGTGTATCCTCATGTAGCCCACAGGAATAAGTCAAGAGAGTAAGGAAGCAATGAAAAAGATGAAGATAATGAACACTGATCATTCTAAAAAAAATCTATAAACCAATCTGTGAACAGGGCACAAAACTCCTGGAAATTTCAAAGAGGGGATCAGATACCTCAGAGGATTAAGCTTCCCTAGTTACTTCACATTCTAAAAAAACATCATATTTTGATTTTTATTTCTGACAACCTTGAGGTGGTTCAGGTTACCTTAAGGTAATCTACCCTTTCCTGGTTCAGAGTACCTTAAGGTAACCTACCTTTTTTTCAGGGTACCTTAAGGTAACTTACCCTTCCTGGCTCAGGGTCCATAGGGAGCTCTTCTCTGTCCCTTTGTCTCCATTTCTTTTTATCTCTCTCACGACTTCGTGATCTTTGATCTCGTCGTCTTTTATCTCTGTCTCTTGACCTTGACCTATTTCTTCGTCTGTCTCTGTCTCGACTTCTTGACCTTGATCTATCTCTAGACCTGCTCCTCCTTCTCCTTTAAAAAATATAACACATAGTTTACAAATCTTGAATTAACTATTAGAAATTTAATAATATGATAAGTGAAATATCAGACTCAACAATAACAATGAGCAAAATCTCAGTGATTAAAATACAGCAAAACTTGGTTATAACGAAGTCGCTACGACCTATGAAATTACTTGTTATATCCATAATTCATTATAACCGTATAAGAAATTCACTAAATTTATATAGCTGGGGATCCAAGATGACTTGACTATATCCGTAAATTCACAATATCTGCACTAAACGAGTTTTACTGTATCTGATTTTTTTTTCAATGAAATGTTCATCAATTAATGAACCTTTCAGAAAATATATTTTTCAAATAAACATCACATATACCAATCAGCATTCATAACCATACTATACAGGGTTGTCCCCAACATCAGGGAAATTCGTTGCTTGTTATGACTACTCCCAAGACCCCCTTCTACTTTTCTCACGTCCCCTCATATTTCAATTCCTAATGACAAACCTGAATCTATATGACTTTCATGTAAGGAAAACCATCAGGTTCCTATTCAGTTATCTCAGTAAATGTGACCCTTTTAATTTTTTCTATCTTTACATATTCTGCAATCTGCATACTTTTTTCTATGATAATATGTTGGCCTTCTGATATGACCTTAATACAGTATATCTGATCTACCGGTATTTTTCACATCTTTTGCAATCAATTTTAATTTCAATTCACAAAAAATTAAAACACAGAGAAATTATGTCAATTGTTGTGTGCCATAAAAATAATAACCCTTTTTTTAATTTTGAAATCACAAAAATACATGTAACTTATGCAAAATAAAAACTGTACAAATCTATCCTTTTTAGCAAAATTTGCAAGACATAAAAAAACAAATATACTGTATTACCTTCTATCTCGCTCTCTGCTTCGACTCCGGTCTCTTCTTCTTTCTTTCTCCTTATTGCTACAAAAGGATTTTATTTCAATCATATGTATGTCTGTGTTTTTCCCTTCACAATGCTTCCAATTTAGAATCATACTTTTTGAAGTTTAAAGGGATACTTTTTATTGCAAAAAGCAAAGCATAAAAAATCTTAAGATGATGTGAATTCAATACATTTTGAAATATACTTCTCTTTAATATGACATGAAAAAATACCTGATAAATGATAATCATTGACAATCTAGTTTATGCCTTTTTTATTTTGTAAATATGAACATTGAGTTTAACTATGATATTGAATACCATGGATATGTCAAAGTGTTTTGGAAGTCCCTACCACTTTTCCTTCAAGTATTTTACCATTATAATCCAATTAAATATTAAATCCAAGGGTGATATGTCATCAATTCATAAACATTAAATGTTTGCTAAGTATTTTGGTAATTTCGATTACTTTTTTTCTTTTGGTGCTGGAGCATTCATTAGTGCCTCCAGTTCATTCATCATATCACCTGCCACATCAACATCTGTAACATCTGTTTTGATTGGCTTAGTAGCACTGTCATCTGTTCTTTCTGTTTTGATTGGCTTACTGTCTTCTGTCCTCTCTGTTTTGATTGGTTTTTCCTCATCTTCATCCAGCAACATATTCTACATTTAAAATAAAAATGGTCATTGCATGTAAGAAAGAATTATTGGTTTTCTTTTTTTTCATATACAAATTTTTGGGGTCATGAGCAATTAGAAACTTTAAAACAAATTCATTTCAAGCAACACATATTATACTTTATATATTTATCTTATGATTTAGCTCAACAATAAGGACCAAATCTGAAATCAAGTCAAAGAAAGTATAGGTGCTTACCCTGGTTTTGGGGTCATTTGCCAGAGCCAAACCTGGGAATAGCTTCTTTTTTATTTCCACGTCACTCTGAACACTTTCTTTGGTGATTTCTGTTTCTTTCTTGGTTTCTTTCTGTGGTTTTGGTTTCATTTTCTGGATCAGCCTGAGCAGATTTGCAACCAGTGAATCCTAAAAATAATAATATTTACAACATCAATAAGTTTGTTATAGGACACCACATATAAGCATTTATTTTTTATTTAAAAGCTCTACAATTCAAATTGTGTGAGAATTGGTTCACATATAATTTTCCCTTTCTCCAGATAACTTGTGGTAAAACTTTCATAATTTTGGTCATCATAGTCTAGTAATAGAAAATTTAGTCAATTATACCTGTACACATTACAGTTAAATAAAAAAATATTTTTTTATTACCCCATCCCTAACCATGGCATATTTCATTTTACACATTTCACCAAAGAAATAATGAATGTTTTTCATAAATATTTAGAACAAGTAATTATGAAGTTGACTCCATTTCTTACTGCAAACTCTGCACCATTTTCATCCAAAGCTTTTTTAAACTTCTGATATGTATCATTCTTTTCCGCCAGATGTATGATAAATTCAGCTGAAAAAAACAATGAGATGTGAGAATTTTGAAATCCTTTGTGTTAATTTTAACTCTTATATTAGTTTAGAAAAATATTTTAAATTCTTATCTGGTAAACTGAACTATATCAAACAGCAGGACTGAACCATAATATACTAAGGGATATTGAACTTATATTGGTGAATTGGCTGTACAAATGCATAAGCTTGACTCAAACTATGTTTTTATGGTAACAAAAATTTCCAAGAGAAAATTAACTCTCCTCCATTTAATGGATATAGCAAACAAATAGTAGATTAAACGTTCCTCATTAAAATTAGCATTGTTCAGACTTTGTTTTGGCAATTTTACATATGGTGTCATTTGAAGTCATGAAGTATAGATGTTTCAAATGTCACATTTTGTGTTTTGAATAGTCTGCCCTAATCATGCTAATTGGAAAACCTTCATCATATTATCGTTATACTTTGGTCACATTTGGTGTACTGCGATAGTTGTCACAAAACAAATTGTAATACAATTTCCAGTTCCTGATTTCAATCATATTCCAAACAGTAAAGTTGCTGTTGTAATGAATGAATTTGGCATCATAAATATAATAGCGATGAATCTGATTTCGCGAGTGATGCTTCACGCGAAATTACTCAATAATTAATTCCTTGGGTATAATAAGAATTCTACAGTACATTCTGCTTATTATATGTATATATAGCAAGCGCTACGAGCGCAGAGTGGCGGCAGGAAGCATCACTCGTCACCAAAGCTCTCAAAGCAACACCAAATTCAGACTTTGCACATTGATCCAAACGATTTTTTTGCCACAGTTACTTTGGACCCACAATACATTGCTTGTTTTAGCTACGTTCTCGCGATAAAAACCACAAAAGTTCGACAAAAAGTTAACGCGCCTATATTTAATGGACATATTAAATTATATTGAAGATAAATAGTAAATGAAATTAATATTCTTCATTAACTTTCAGCACTGTTCAGTCTTTTTTGGGGTACTACAACTTACATACTACATCATGTGACGTCAGAGTCTAGACGCAATCGTAACTACTTGGTCATTTCCATGAACGATAAATAACATTCTCTTTCAGAAAATGGCCAAGTAGTTACGAAAGATTCGAGTTGCATCAAATGTCATGTGCGGTTTGATGAGCCTGATTAAATTAAAGCATAGAGAAATATCTGCACTCACCCTAATGGTTGCACCGTCAACATAATAAACAGAAGTTAATTAAGAGACCATCTATTTTTGCAATGTTAACTATTATTGAAAATTATGCAGGTCCAGTACAATCACCAGATATAGCTACGTAGGTAGAATTACTTACGTAGCTTTACTTACCTACCTCAGGTAGCTTTATTTAGCTATTTCAAGGTAAGTTTTCAAAAGTTTTCTTTTTATTAAAAAGAGACAAAAAGTCGCAATTAAATGCCTATTGATATTTATACTAGGGAGGCTTAAAAAAACAATCCAAAGCAGAGATAGTTCATACATTGCTGCGTTTGGACAATTTAGAGCCAAACATGTAATTCCATTGTTTGGTTAACTGTCGTCTCTATTTGGCGTGGTGAGGCATGACTGAGTATGATTACTTCACATTGTGCTGAATAATTACCGACCTATTATCATGTTAACCGGAACTGGACTTCTTTTTCATTTCATTCAAGAAGTAACTGTTCTAACTGTCATACATAGCCCAAAAACTTTTAGAACTTTGATTGCAATTGCGCAGAAAGACATTTTTCCAAGAGGGATTTTTTCATGAGTTGTTTTCAGATGAGTTTAAAGTTGAAAATGATCACTGCATCAAAATGATATTTTCTGCACACCCTGAGAAAAATGCTTTTTAATAGAAATGAATCAATTTGGTAGCTAAATAAAGCTACCTCAGCTAGGTAAATAAAGCTATGTTGGTAAATCAAGCTACGTAGCTAAATTTAGTGATTGTACCAGACCTGATATGTAAATTTACATGCATATCTCAACACAGTGAAAAATATCATAGTATTATCGCAATATAAATTTTTGGCCAATACCAAGCCTAATATGTGACTGACAAAGTAATTTCATATTTTTTTTTTAAGAGAAATTCTGGCTCTCTAGTTGTTGTTTTTTTTCAGTAAACTTGGGAGTGAGGGGATATTCACACTTAAGCCTGAATGGTCACACTTTCTAACACATATATACATAATGTGTATAAATAGCCATTTCCATTTATAAATATTTGTTATATAATTCAAGTTGAACGGGTTCTTGCCAGTATTAACTGGATATGTAGTGGAGAGAAATATTACACCATCTCTTCATTTGGAGAAAATTCGAGTTACATCTTTAGACACAATTTTCATACCTAGGTCCTTGTCATTTAGTCCCAGATGGTTCTCAAGTTCTGTACAAACTTTAGAGACCAGAGACAAATACTCAAGTTTTTGCAATTCGTCCATCTTTTCTTAAAATGTGATGAGATGTTTACTCCGGAAGTACGTTTTTTAACTGCGCATTTTCAGGGCGCATGGTAATTTTGCTACCTCCTTTCATAAAAGAGCGAAACTCTTGGCAGGCGCGCCATTTTGCGTAGCACACCGGTTTACAATGGCAGATCAAATTCCTACATTTAAACTTGTTCTTGTTGGAGATGGTGGCGTGGGAAAGACAACATTCGTCAAAAGACACGTCACAGGAGAATTTGAGAAGAAATATGTCGCCACACTCGGTGTTGAGGTCCATCCTTTGAAATTTCACACAACTCGTGGTGAGATCATCTTCAATGTATGGGATACAGCTGGTCAAGAAAAATTCGGTGGTCTGAGAGATGGTTACTACATTCAAGGACAGTGCGCCATTATAATGTTTGATGTCACATCTCGTGTGACCTACAAAAATGTTCCCAACTGGCATAGAGATCTGGTGCGCGTTTGTGAAAATATCCCCATTGTTTTGTGTGGGAACAAAGTTGATATCAAAGATCGAAAAGTGAAGGCCAAAGCCATCGTGTTTCACCGAAAAAAGAACTTACAGTACTATGATATTAGCGCCAAGAGTAACTACAACTTCGAGAAGCCTTTCCTTTGGTTGGCCAGAAAATTGGTTGGAGATGCGAATCTGGAATTTGTTGCTATGCCTGCCCTTCAACCACCAGACATCAAGATGGACCCAAATCTAGCAGCACAGTACGAACAAGAGCTACAAGCCGCAGTGGAAGTCGCACTCCCAGATGACGACGACGATTTATAGATTTTATAAACACTTTTCAGCTCTGATATTTATCACTGTTTATAAGAGTCAATTGATGAACTTCTGACATCTGTGAACTAACTTGGGACACATTCACAAACATTGTTTCAAAAAAAAAAGTGTAATCATGAACTTTATGTTTTATTTAAAATGCCTAAATGGTTTTGTTATATGACAAATGTTTGTATTTGTGTCACTTTTGTAAACAAATAAAATGGACAAAACTAAGTTGAGTTCACTTGGATTGAGCAAGGCAATCAGGAAAACCCAGACCAGATGTTTACTTTCCGATTTTTTCCATGAAGAAAGGCACATCCAATTTCAAGAACAGAAATTGAAGGATTTTTATTTTTAATTCTATGATTTGAATTATAATACCATGATTCCCATTTTCACGAAAAAAGAAAATGTCAGACTAAGATGGGAGAGATGATTTAACAAATATGAACAAAAGGGTATCAGATGGCAAGATCATAATAGAGAAATGTGAAAATTTTAATTTTGTTAATTTTTAGCTCACCTCAACGAAGTTGGGGGAGCTTATGTAATACCCTCGGTGTCGGCGTCGGCGTCCCAGGTTAAGTTTTTTGGAGCAGTTTTCTTTTTAAGTACTTCTATGTCCTATATTGATTAGACATGCATGGAAGATGGTTCTAGTGTGTTTCATTGTACCAGTCAAAGTTTCAGATGCTGCAATTTCAGGGAAGGAATGACCAGGTTAATGTTTTTGGAGCAGGTTAACATTTTTGGTGCAGTTTTTGGTGTAGGTTTCATTTCCAAGTAACTATAAGCCCTATGTTGACCAAACTTGCATGGATGGTACATCTAAGGATGCATACTAACAGGCTTGCTTCGGATGCTGAATCTGACCTACATTTTCCGGTTGAGTGAACAGGTTAAAGTTTTTGGTGCAGGTTTCATTTCCAAGTAACTATAAGCCCTATGTTGACCAAACTTGTATGGATGGTACATCTAAGGATGCATACTACTGGGCTTGCTTCAGATGCTGAATCTGACCATCATTTTCCGGTTGAGTGAACAGGTTAAAGTTTTTGGTGTAGGTTTCATTTCCAAGTAACTATAAGCTCTATATTGACCAAACTTGCATGGATGATGCATCTAAGGATGCATACTACTGGGCTTGCTTCAAATGCTGAATCTGACCTACATTTTCTGGTTGAGTGAACAGGTTAAAGTTTTTGGTGCAGGTTTCATTTCCAAGTAACTATAAGACCTATGTTGACCAAACTTGCATGGATGGTACATCTAAGGATGCATACTACCAGGCTTGCTTCGGATGCTGAATCTGACCTACATTTTGCGGTTGAGTGAACAGGTTAAAGTTTTTGGTGCAGGTTTCATTTCCAAGTAACTATAAGCCCCATAGGCGTAGTCACAGGGGGGGCAGCGGGGGCACTAGCCCCCCCACTTTCAGATGTGGGGGGGCAAGAGTATGTCTGTGCCCCCCCACTTTTTAAAAGAAGAACAAAATCACAGCTATTTTCCCCAACATTACCTTTACTATAGGAAATATTCATTGAATGGATTTCAAAGTAACTTGCCTTTGAAAAAGTTGGCCTCTACCCCCCCCCCCCCCCCCCCCCCCCCCCCCCCCACGAAATAGGATTTTCGAGTTTGGGGAACTTTCCCCTTTTTTTTTTTTTTTTTTTTTTTTTTGCTTGTCAATGAATTTCTGGAGTTGAGCCCCCCACTTTTAAGTTTGGTTTTTTTTTTTTTTTTTTGCTTGTCAAAGAAATTCTGGAGTTGAGCCCCCCACTTTTAAGTTTGGTTTTTTTTTTTCAAAGAATTTCTGGAGTTGAGCCCCCCCACTTTTAAGTTTGTGACTACGCCTCTGAGCCCTATGTTGACCAAACTTGTATGGATGGTACATCTAAGGATGCATACTACTGGGCTTGCTTCAGATGCTGAATCTGACCATCATTTTCCGGTTGAGTGAACAGGTTAAAGTTTTTGGTGTAGGTTTCATTTCCAAGTAACTATAAGCTCTATATTGACCAAACTTGCATGGATGATACATATAAGGATGCATACTACTGGGCTTGCTTCAGATGCTGAATCTGACCTACATTTTCTGGTTGAGTGAACAGGTTAAAGTTTTTGGTGCAGGTTTCATTTCCAAGTAACTATAAGCCCTATGTTGACCAAACTTGCATGGATGATACATCTAAGGATGCATACTACCAGGCTTGCTTCGGATGCTGAATCTGACCTACATTTTCCGGTTGAGTGAACAGGTCCAAGTTTTTGGTGCAGGTTTCATTTCCAAGTAACTATAAGCCCTATGTTGACCAAACTTGCATGGATGATACATCTAAGGATGCATACTACCAGGCTTGCTTCGGATGCTGAATCTGACCTACATTTTCCGGTTGAGTGAATAGGTTAAAGTTTTTGGTGCAGGTTTCATTTCCAAGTAACTATAAGCCCTATGTTGACCAAACTTGCATGGATGATACATCTAAGGATGCATACTACCAGGCTTGCTTCGGATGCTGAATCTGACCTACATTTTCCGGTTGAGTGAACAGGTCCAAGTTTTTGGTGCAGGTTTCATTTCCAAGTAACTATAGGCCCTATGTTGACCAAACTTGCATGGATGATACATCTAAGGATGCATACTACCAGGCTTGCTTCGGATGCTGAATCTGACCTACATTTTCCGGTTGAGTGAATAGGTTAAAGTTTTTGGTGCAGGTTTCATTTCCAAGTAACTATAAGCCCTATGTTGACCAAACTTGCATGGATGATACATCTAAGGATGCATACTACCAGGCTTGCTTCGGATGCTGAATCTGACCTACATTTTCCGGTTGAGTGAACAGGTCCAAGTTTTTGGTGCAGGTTTCATTTCCAAGTAACTATAAGCCCTATGTTGACCAAACTTGCATGGATGATACATCTAAGGATGCATACTACCAGGCTTGCTTCGGATGCTGAATCTGACCTACATTTTCCGGTTGAGTGAACAGGTTAAAGTTTTTGGTGCAGGTTTCATTTCCAAGTAACTATAAGCCCTATGTTGACCAAACTTGCATGGATGATACATCTAAGGATGCATACTACCAGGCTTGCTTCGGATGCTGAATCTGACCTACATTTTCCGGTTGAGTGAACAGGTCCAAGTTTTTGGTGCAGGTTTCATTTCCAAGTAACTATAAGCCCTATGTTGACCAAACTTGCATGGATGATACATCTAAGGATGCATACTACCAGGCTTGCTTCGGATGCTGAATCTGACCTACATTTTCCGGTTGAGTGAACAGGTCCAAGTTTTTGGTGCAGGTTTCATTTCCAAGTAACTATAAGCCCTATGTTGACCAAACTTGCATGGATGATACATCTAAGGATGCATACTACCAGGCTTGCTTCGGATGCTGAATCTGACCTACATTTTCCGGTTGAGTGAACAGGTCAAAGTTTTTGGTGCAGGTTTCATTTCCAAGTAACTATAAGCCCTATGTTGACCAAACTTGCATGGATGATACATCTAAGGATGCATACTACCAGGCTTGCTTCGGATGCTGAATCTGACCTACATTTTCTGGTTGAGTGAATAGGTTAAAGTTTTTGGTGTAGGTTTCATTTCCAAGTAACTATAAGCTCTATATTGACCAAACTTGCATGGACGATACATCTTAGGATGCACACTAATGGACTTGCTTCGGATGCTGAATTCGACATACATTTTTCAGTTAATAAACCAGGTAAAAGTTATGGGTGAGTTTCCAAAAAACTATAAGGCTTATATAACATTGTATAAACCAAACTTGCACAAATGTTGCATCAAGAGATGAAAACTCTCAAATTTGCTTCAGATGCTGGATTTTGATTACATTTTCATGAAGAAGAACTAGTTTAAATTTTTTATGTAGGTCTATTTCAAAGTATCAGATCAAAATTGCTTAAATATTTTCATTTTTGGAATGTACACTTTTTGTTGGTTAATTGTGTGACTTTGCCTTACTTAAAGACAACATTCGTTGAGGTGAGCTCTGTAATCTCTGATTACCTATGTTTTTATATGATTGTTGCTTCATGTGACCAAACTAAAAAAAAAAAAATAAATGGTGAACTTGCCCAAGACAAAATGAACTGCTGTTTTTAGCTGTTATATAGCAGTGTTTTACCAGTTTTTCAAATTTACAGCTGTTATTTAGCAGTTCTCAGCTGTTCATTTCATAGCTGTTTTCAAAACTGTTTCAAGAGCAGTAAGCTTAGCTGTTTTTAAGCTGTTCTTCAGCAGTTCATCTCAGAACAGGTAATAAAAAAACTGCTTTGGAGTTAACAGCAGTTGTCTGTTCCTGTTAGCTGTTATGTATAATTTGATCGGGATTGAGAAACTGTTGAAATGTCGGGCTTGGTGTTCAATTAATTTAAACAACAGACCGCCAAAATTCAACAACCTTGGCTGCCATATTGTATAGTTTGGAGAGAAGGCAAGAGAATGTTTTGAAGAGGGGGATTGTCGTCACCAATAAGACAGAGATTGGATTGCTATATCTAACAAAAGATGCAGATATTTTATATACAGTAGGTATATGTTTTTAATACATGTGTGTTTGTTGATAAATAAAAAAATAAGTGTTCTAAATCTGCTACGTTTTAGCCACATTTCAGTCAGCTCAGAGAACTCTTGAAGGATTGATATAGCATTGCCAATTTTTTAGGAGGATTGTCATTTTTTGCACTGATTTACCATAGCCTATACGATGTTTTTGTAGAAGGAGAAGATATAGGTGGATGTAGTGATTTTCTTGGACCTGATTGGGACTAAAAAACGGGGCCTGTATATGAGGTATATATTTCTTTTTTTTATTTTAGGAAAAGCTTTAGATATTAAAGAAAAATTTTAATTAAATCACTAATCAAATAATCATGAATGCCTTTATTGTAAACAAATTGACACAAAATTGAAGAAACTAAACTTGTATAGGATATATAAAGGTAGATTATAAAAGGTTAGCAATTAATTTGAATTTTATTTATTCAACTGTGAAACTTAGTGTGTGTGTTTTTTAACTGATAGGATTTGCAAATTGACCAAGAGCAGCCAGCAAACATTAAACATGCAGTGACCTTACAAGTAACAAAGAATTAAGTGGAGAAAATAATTTTTCATTGGACAGATCATGAGATGGGTGTGATTTTAGAAAGCCCTGGGATATTAATTGAATTGCGAGAAATGAATCAGGAACGCAGGTAGAAAGTGGCAAAGACCAATACCATAAGATGTTCCTATTAAAGATTTAAAATTGTAGCTGATATTAATACAAATATTGTAAAGTATGTGTAATGTACTAAATAAATCAAGATTGATATAAAAAGTATAAATATTCTTAGTAAATATTCTATATTACTGTGTTCCAATACCTAATAGTGTTGTACTTTTTACTACCACTTGAATAGATTTCTATTTTATTTATTATCTAAAATGCCACATTCTTGTATTTTTTTATGATAAATTATTAAATTTGTGACTGAAGAGTTTAAACTTTCTCCATATGCTGTTCTGTATGTTTGTCAACAGATAGGAATTAGGATCCAATGCATTGGTTATGAACATAATATGTACATTTTCTTTCATTTAAAATTGTTGCTCCTAATAATATAATAAATAGTATATAATTATACACATTGTTGATAGTGTTGTAAATAATCATATATGTATGCAATTATTTAGCAGTTCCTAGCAGTTTTACAGCAGTTCCTAGCAGTTTTAAGTCACTGGGATGTCCATATAAGGAAATGCTTGTTATCAGTTCTCCTGAATATTAAATAGCTTACAGCAGTTTTTGAAGCAGTTCTCATTAATATTCATACCGGACAGCTGTTTTCACAGAGCTCATTAAAATATTTCGGCCTATACGACAGCTAAAGAACTGGGAATGCTAAATAACTGCTGTTAACTGCTATTGGAATGTGTGTATGCAAATTACTAATTTGCATAAAGTGAGTGAACTGGAATGCTTAGGAACAGCAAAAGAACAGCTGTTAAATGAGAACTGGGAAGGTTAATTAACAGCTAAATTACAGCTGTTCATTTTGACTTGGGAGGTTTGATTTTAATGAGACTGGAAAGTTGTCAGTCAGCCTGTGACTTTTAAATTTGATTTCAGTCTCTTCTGAGTTTATGGTCTTGAGGTCAACGCTAGATACTAATTAAATCCTATATCCTGGAGGTGAATTGAAAACTACAGTGTGATTCTGAATAAAAGGATTGGACATCCTTAAAATACGCTGTAAGGGTTATCTCTCTTAATACATGTCTTTTTCCCACACTCCTACTAGCAGTCTTAACCATGTAAATAAAAACATAATAGGATATATATGTAGGCAGAATTAAGTTTTGCTTTATCAACAAAAATTTAACAAGAAATTTGGTTGGTTTACAGATTTAGTTTACCTATTGAGCGCCAAGGATTATATAAATTTTTAAATATTAATTATAGTTAAATATATATGTATAAACTCTTGCATATATTGTTTATTGTTTGTAAGTATATGAACAGTTTTATCGAGTTAATGATAATGGATTTGTTTTATTATCTGAATTAGGGTTGACATTCAAACACTTCTTATAGAAAACCTTATTAAGGTTCAACGATTATCTGATATGAGCGATAACTCTCTCTAAAATGAATGTCTGTTATTCGTTTATAAAAATGTGAAGTTTTTAAATGAAACGTGTCCATTGAAATTAAGCTAAATGAAAGATATGCTTTTCTTGTACTTAAAACAGATCCATAGTAACAGTTTCAAAAAAAGGAGGAGGGGGACAACTTACAAACAAAAAAGCAACATCAACAACAATAACAAAAAACAAAAAAAAAAACAAAAACAAAAACGGACAAGCGGTTAAAAAAAACAACCGTTCAAATCCTGGATTTTGTTCGACCTAACAAGAAGGAGAGAACTCAGCTTTTAAAGGAAAATACTAGTATACTTTAGCAGAATACTCAGACCCCCCCCCCCCCCCCCCCCCCGGGGGGGATTTATGTGCCTGTATGAATTAGATGTTAATTGTTTTAGTTGGAATGATATACGATCACTTGTAGAAAATGTATTACCGAATTTCTAGATCCCGCTGTTTTTGAGCTATTAAACTATATTGAGAAGGAAATGTCCCTTTTATCTTGCAGATTTTGCGTCCTGCTGAGAATGTGTTAAAACAAATATGATATGTCTTTTCATAACTTTATTGATGTCACATCAATGATGTGTGTAAACAATTAGCACTCTTAAATTTAATGATAATGATCGTAGATAAATGGAAAGGTCACCTGTAAGAGATGTCATACTGAGACATTGCTGAGAAAAAATGGAGGAGTTGACCAATTAAGACACCTTAACAGAGAATACAAAAACTCAAAGTGAATTAGACCACTTAAAAAAAATTGTTTGGTTGCCCTATCCGACCGACTGGCTAAGTGGCCCTATTTTTTTCACCTACCTACCGCCCCATTTTTTCGTCATTATTATTTTTTATTCAAGCAGTATTTTGAAAGCGAGAGTGGAGGGTGGGGGCCGGGGGTAATCGGGGAAAGAAAATTCAAGTTACCCCCCCCCCCCCCAAAAAAAAAACCTTGAATAAAAAAGAACCATATTACGGTTTATTTGAAGCAATTATAATGCAATTTTTATAATTAGTCACAAAGAAACTCTTATATCTGTTTTTACGTCTATATTAAATGATTAACTTAATAAATAAATAAAAACATTAAGACCAACTTTGAAATATCGTTTGCTTGCCCTCTTCCAACTCAGGATAAAAAAAATTGGTTGGTAGGTTATAGGTAGGTAAAAAATATTTCTCTCAGAAAATTTTAATATCAAGGATAATTTTTTAAAATCTTTTTTCCAGAACACAAAATAAAAAAAATATAATTGCTTCTTGGGGATTAAAAAAAAAGCTTCGAGAAGGACCATCTTTAGCCAGTCAGGGGTTCAAAATTTTTTTTGTCATGGTCAAGTCCAGGACTTAAAGCGTAAATTTTAGGCAAGTCCGAGGAAGAAATTTGAAAGTCCATATTAACCTATACATCATTAAATTTATGTTACTTACAATTTATTTTCATTTGTTGCATTGAATGAATAAAGACTATATGTATTAATATATGTTTTATTTTTCCTCCATAAACTGTCATATAGTCATACATGAGTATTTCAAAAGTACCAGACTGATAGATTATTGGTACATTACAATAACTTTTACAAATACTCACTACTGAATAAACCATCTGTTACAATAAATAGCAGTTAGAATGTGCTGTAAGTCAAAGCTAAAACCGAAATTTAAAAAACTAATAGACTAATTGCCGTTTGTCATATAGGAGGAAACATGAGGAATTGCGTAAAAGCAAGAATCTAACCGCAACGGAAAATAAAAAGACGGATTGTATTTTCGAAACGTTCGTAATGTTTTATGGGTATTTTAACGACCACAAACCCATTTTTACGTAATACATTTGAGAATTTGCTTTATTTTTAGCTTTACGATCATTTTTTTAACTTAAAAAAAAAGATAAACAAAAAACAGCCAAGTCCCAGGACTTAGGCGAATTCTAAATGCCGAGTCCGGATCCGGAATTTGTTAGTCCGGGACGTCGGGCTTGAGGAATTTTGAACCCCTGCCAGTATAGGTCGGGATAGGGCAACCAAACAATTTTTTTAATATGGCCTAAAATTTTTTAAAACAAAACGTTACTAGAAGAATGTGCTGTTATAATTGTTAGTGTTATTCGCGTTTCTTGGGGGGAAAAAAAGAAAAACGAATTTTTACTTTTTTTTTTATTTTTTTAACGATGACAATTCCGTCTCAAAGATACATACAATTTTGTTTGAACATTTCAGGTAATTTTATTCTCGGTGGACAGATTTGAATTTTAATCGATCTAGCTCTGAAAGTGAATTAATGTAATTGCATTATATATGTAGAGGTATATCTGAAAGTGTTGATCCCTTTGTAGACAATAACTTTCTCTACACAAGGGGATTTTTTACAGCCTAAAGTTATTTCTGTGATTTGCTTCTTTTTTTTTTCAAAGTAAACAAATAAGGAATAATTCATCAAGTATATATAATTTAATTTTGTTTGTATTCTCGCCTCTCATTGGTTGATTTCCAAAAAGGAACGCAAAACATTTTGTATAATCTGGTTTGGTATGGGGACACACCCCCTTGACGACCAGCTTAATCATCATATCCATGCAATCCCCTCATTTCCAGTCCTCGGAATCCATGGAAAATTCCAGATTTAATAAATGTACCTTCAACTTTAAACAATTACTCGTTCTTACCTCATGTAAACAAACATCATGGCTGCTAGATCTATGTATCAGTTATTACCTCCCCTCGCTTCAAATCACTTCCGTTACTACGGTTGTATTATTGCGCGGTAAATTTGAACTTATAAAACATGTAAAAAGCAACGCAATTTTACATCAAAAGTTGTTTAATTATTTTAAAATTAAATTATAAGAAGTGACTTTAATTCTTGGCCATATTATCGAGTATAATCTGGTTTGGGTCAGTTTCGCTTTTTTATAATCCGCTTCGCGGATTATAAAGCGTAAACTGACCCAAACCAGATTATACTCGATAATATGGCCAAGAATTAAAGTCATTTCTTAAATAAAACTGATCTTCGACAAAACTAGTTTGTTAAAAATCTAATAAACTATATGTTCTGTGAGCACTGAGCTCATAAAATAATACCCCCTCCCCCCAGCCTTTCTATGATTATAATGGCAAAACACATCAATGTTTTGCTCTGGGAGACCCGGAATTAATAAATGTCAGATCAAAAAGTAAAATAGGAGGTGCCCAATGACGTTATGTAATAAAGAATCTCTGAAAATACGAGGGTTGATCCAAATGTAATGTCACAACTTCGATAAAATCGCTACCCGTCGACGAAAAACAACAAAATTATCAATGATGAAATCTACATTTATTTCAAATCAGACCTGAAAATTTCGATTCAACACGATTTATACTTTTCAAAATATCAGATTTTATACAACGTGCGATTATGGTAGTCGCCGCACCTAAATAACGTCATATGACGGATACGTGCCGTCATACATTTA